AAATATTGAATGTAAGCCACTTCATCAGTCAGTGAATTGAAGCGAAAATTATTAGAATTCAACAGCTATACATTTATTAATATTTTCACTGCATGCTCTTCTGAAAGCTGCTAGTGGCATACAAGACGCTTGTAAGATCTGGTTTTCCATCTATTAAGCATTGCTTTTCAGAAGACTTGTGAAGCAGGGACCCACACACAACAAACAGTGCTATTAAAATGCTGCTTTGTCTGGTAGTAGCAGAGAAGCTGTGTTCAAGGACCCATCCCCCCTTCCCTTCCCTTCCCTTCCCTTCCCTTTCCTTTCCTTTCCTTTCCTTTCCTTTCCTTTCCTTTCCTTTCCTTTCCTTTCCTTTCCTTTCCTTGTGGAAAAGAGAAAGATACTGCTTATTTTCAGAAGTGGAAACTGGATTTTCTAAGGAATGTCCTCTTGCCTGAAGTATTTTGTATAACAGGGGTTACCAACAGATTGGACAAAGAAAAGATCCTCATTTTTTGGCATTATTATCATTGATAATATTAATGGCAATAATTTTGGCATTAATATCATTGATTACTGTCAGCATTATTATCATTGATGTTGCTGGGAGGAAAGCGGAGTGCTAGGTAAATCACATGCCATCTTAAGGAGAGCATGGAGGTTATCTGCCTTCCCTCCGCTATGTAAGTGATAACCCTTTTTCTTACTTGCATTTCTACAATTGAAGAACAAGGGACAAGGAATTAAAAAAGAGGATATCTCAAACTAAGCTTAAACTGGAAGGAGAGTGTGCGATTTAATCTTCAGTACTGTCACTCCCTTGCATCTGAAGTTAAGGTTTTGAGTATTGCGGCCACCTGAAATTATTCCTCTGCCAAGGCTCAGCAGCTCCCAGGTCTGCAGGGTGCAAAGAGACTCTGTGCTCAAGACACAGGCAAGACTGATCAAATTCTAGAAATTTACTTTTCTGATTTAGATTTTGCAGTTATTCTCCCAGAATGTCCTAGAACCTACAGGATGAAGCTCTTCAAAGAAATTGTTCAAACAGGGGTAGTTTTTCCTTTCTTTTTCTGTAGGAAGAGCTAGTTAGCTGGGAAGTGGGGGACAAGTTTCCATCCTCTGCCTGTGGGAGTTTAAATCTTCATATTCAATTTCCTGCCAATAAGCCTAAAAGCCAAGGCTACTAGATTAATATTTTCCATGTTATCTTCTGCCTAATTTGACCAAGCTCCTCCACTGGAAAAGTGCTTCAGGCTTTGTCTCTGCTGGGCCAGCCAGGTGACACCCACTGTCTTTATGGCAAGGAACTGTGAAGGCTCTTTGAGGTCAGTCCTCGGGAGATCAGTGGGAAACCCTGGATATCCCTGGACTATGGGAAGCATCATGTGTCTGGGGCTGTAATGAACAGCAGCCACTGAGGTCAGGTCAGGTCTGGGTCCAGACCACCAGCAGCTGTTCATGTAGCTCTGCTGAAGACTGTTCTGTGATGTTAATGTGCTCATCACTCCTCGCTGAAAGCCTCCACAAGTAATGCAAAGAATTCAAGATTCAGTGGGTCAGATGGAGGGGGAAGAATAGGGGAAACTAGTAACCCACTAGTTTGGGCAGACAATGCAAAGCATCAGGTCTGGCATGCCAGTAGCTTCTTTAGGAACAGCAGATGCTTTTGTTTAATGAGTTTTTCATATAAAATGCATGAACAACAGAGACTGGAATCCACATTTCAATTAATATTTTAAGTGTTTTATATCAAGTATTCATAGCAGAAAGAACTAAACTCGTGTGTTTCTGCCCCTGATGAGTGCCCTAACCACTCAGCAAGTGAGTTTTGCTCGTACTCATCTTCCTTCTGACACAGTGAGTACTTAATTAGTCCACACAGAGAAAAACATCTTCAACAGAGATTGAAAGAAGAGATCTAAGAACACCCTGGAGAAGAATAACAAGGATTCAGATCTCTCTAGGCAGTGGAGCTATTTGAACCTAACTCTCCTGTTTAAAAGGAACCATATTAATACAGATTAAAAGGAGCTGAAAGAATGATGAGGGTCAAGATGCAATGAGGGGCACCACCACCTCTACATAGGAGAAAAGGTTCTACTTCTCTATGTTCAAGCAGAAAATTTTGGCAATTCTCTTCCTAAGTCTCTGTATGTATGGCAAAGGAGGAATGGAGGCCAAAGCACAGGATTTGTATTACACCCCTGCGCTACAGCACTGGTCTGAGCACTGTGAAATGACACCTAAATCTCAACCTTTTAGAGTGTGAAAAACAAAACATAGAACCTCTTCATGAGCAGTCATTTATGCATCATTTAATGTACACTAATGACCACACTTTAAAAGGAATTTTTCTCTCAGGTCTCACTGAAGACAGTGGGATTGAGGACCGGTGACTACGACTACTCCCAGTTTACTCAATGGTTAAACTAGAGCAGGCTTTCCTTATCTGTACTGGGATACTGGACCTGATGGTCACCACCTCAGTGAACTGACTGGTGATGCCACGAGTGGCAGCAGCCTGGGCTGCAGTGATCATGTCCTGGTGGAGTTCACAGTCCTCAGGCATATGGATTGGCAAAGAGTAAAGCCAGGAGCCAGCATTTTAGAAGATAAAACTTTCAGCTCTTTAAGAAGGTCAGTAGGACCCCCTGGGAAACTGCCCTCAAGGACAAGGGAGCAGAACAGAGCTGACAGATCTTTAAGGATCTCTCCCAAGAGGGAAGATCTAGTGAAACCCAGGTGAAAGAAATTGGATGAGAAAGACAAGAGACTTAATTGCTCTATTGGGACCTGCTAGCTGAACTAAAGGGCAGAAGTGAAATGCAGAGGTGGTGGAAGAAGGGACAGCTGTCATGGAAAGAGCATAGGAACACAGTCTGGTTGTGTATGGATGTGGTCAGGAAGGTCAAGGTGTAGATGGAGCTGAAGTAGGCAAGGGATGCCAAGAATAACAAGAAGAGCTTCTACAGGTATGTCAGCTAGAAAAGGAAGGTTGAAGAAGTGTACTCCACCTGGCAAGCAAGGTCGTCATGAGGAGAAGGCTGAGGCACTCAGCAACAATTTTCCCTCAGTCTTTTGCCACCTCCTTTCCCACGCCTCTTGAGTGTTCGGTCCACAAGACAGGGCCTGGAGGAGCAAAGTCCCTCCCACTGTAAGAGAAAATCGGGCTTGGGACCACTTGAAGAACCTACCTAAGTCTTGAACATACCTCAGTCTATTGAACATTGTGAGATGTATCCCAGAGTCCCAGGAATTGTGGGACTATTTAATTACCTAGCCACTGTCTATGATATTTGAAAAGTGTGGCAGTCAGGTGACTGGAAAAAGGGAAATATTGTACCCATCTTAAAAAAGGGTAGAAAGAAGGGCCCTGGGAAGTATCAACTTGTCAGTGCCATTATCTCTGTGCCTGGGAAGATCATGGAACATACCTTCCTAGAAACTCTGCTAGGACACATGGAGGACAGGGAAATGTTCAAGACAGCCAGCACAGCTTCACTAAGGGCAAGTATTGCCTGACCAACCTGGTGAAGTGAGTCCATCAATGGACAAGGAAAGAGCTACATATGTCATTTATCTGGACTTTTGTAAGGCTTTTGACATGGTCCCCCACAACATACTTCCCTCTAAATTGGAGAGAGATGGACTTGATGGGTGGACAATTTAATAGATAAGGAATTTGCTGTACAGCATTATTCAGAGAATAGTGGTCAATGGCTTGAGGTCTGAATGGAGATCAGGGACAAGTGGTGTCCTTCAGGGGTCAATTTTGGGACCAATGTCTTCATCAATGACATAGTGAGTGACATCAGTGACAGAGTGAGCCTGCAGTAAGTTTGCAGATGACATCAAGCTGTGTGGTGTGACTGAGGCACCTGAAGGACAGGATGCCATCCAGAGGGACTCGGACAAGATTTGAGAAGTAGGCCCATGGGAACCTTGAGGTTTAACAAGGCCATGTGCAAAGAACCTGAGGCAGAGCAACTCACAGCCCAGAAAGCCAAATGTATTCTGGGCTGCATCCACAGCAGCATGGCCAGCAGGGCGAGGAAGAGGATTTTGCTCCTCTGCTCTGCTCATGTGAGACCCCACCTGGAGTGCTGTGTCCAGCTCTGGGGTCCCCAGCACAGGAAAGACACGGGCCACAGAGATGATCAGAGGGCTGGAGAACCACTCTTATGAAGACAGGCTGAGAGAGCTGGAGTTGCTCAGGGTGAGGAAGAGAAGGTTCTGGGAAGATGCAGATATATCCCCCCTAGCAGCCAGGGGGATATATAAAAGCTGAAGAGGGACTTTTTACAAGGGCATGTAGTGATAGGAGAAGGCAAATGGCTTCAAACTGAAAGGGGGCCAGTTTAAATTAGATATTAGGCAGAAATTCTTTACTCTGAGGGTGGGTGGTGAAGCATTGCAAGGCTGCCCAAAGAAGTTGTCGACGGCCCATTCCTGAAACTGTTCAAGGCCAGGTTGAATGGGGTTTAGAACAACCTGGTCAAGTGGAAAGTCCTTCTGGTCATGGCAGGAGGAGTTAGAATAAGATGGTCATTATGGTCCCTTCCAAATCAAAGCATTTCATGATTCTATGATTCTGTGCTTGTTGAGATATGGAAATAATGTGAAATTAGCTGAGAACTGTAATGCTGCCTTGGAAATTCAGAGAAAGGCAATATAAAAATGCATCCTTAAGAACAATAGGAAGCCATGGATCCTGCTTTGTCAGAGAACAGGGCAGATTAAATTTAAAGAGAGCTAAAACCCCTGCTTCCCTCCTTCCCATACACATGCACAAAACTCTCTATAAAGGCATACACTTCTGTTTGTTTTGTGTGGTTTCCTCAGGCAGTGAATTATCTAGGACTGACTCTAAGACTGGCTGTTTAGTTTCAGACTTTACTATAAGCTTTTAATTATAGCACGGGAGTTTCATTACATGTTACTCTGAGCCAGCTGGAAGCAGTTACACTTTAGTCCTCCTCCCCCTCCCTCCTCACCACAGGATGTCATTTCCAAGGCCTTACCCTTCTTGTCTTGATGATTATGGGATGAAACTGCCACATATGGATCTGTATTTTCAGATGAACCAAGCGGATCCTTCCAATCCAGCATGCGTCCCCTAGCATCATAACCCTGTCGAGCGCGAGAGTCAGAAGTGGTGGTGCTTGGGACTAGGGAACTGGAGTGTCCTGTTCACATTATAAATACAGGTAGGGAAGACAAGTCTCATTAGTCACTTACCACGCTACCTCCCCATACTCAGGGGTGTACAGACTGCTTTGCTTCTGAGACAGGTGAACATCTTGTCTTAGGCAGAGTAATGTTTCAAAAGTCCTTGAAAATGTGACTCCAAAGGAAGAGGGGATTTGAACCTTCCAGATCAGGGTGCTAAAAGGTGCTGCCACTGAGCTGGCAGTTCTGTGCTTCTTGACAGAGTTAAATGCATATGAAAGAGGGTAAGCACACTTTGTCTGAGTCAAACATCCTTTGGCTGGATTCAGCACACATGCCTGACTGACACTGAAGGGTCAGCCCATGTTGTCTGATACTGGCTCAGTCAAAAAGCAAATAAGAAATCCATCTAGAACAGAACAATGTCCAAAATGGCTGGAACTGAATGGGAATGCCAGAAGAACTACAAAATGGTGACATCATGAGGCACTCTACTGCATGTCCCCAGGGGAATGAAGGACTGCCTAACACCAGTGTGCTCACACTGTGGCACTCCTCTCCAGACAGGAAATGTCCTGGGCCAGCTGCTTGCACCATCACTGTTGGTTCTGTCTGAGCTGATGGCCCAAAACGGCTCTGAAATAAGCACAAGACTGAGCACCACTTCTACTCAGAGGCACAGTGCAGACAGTGCCTCACCACGTGGATCTGCCCAAGAGCCCGTGACTCCAGCAGCAGCTGAGACTGTCTCACATGCCTTTTTTCCATTACAAATGCTCTAGACATTGTTACTGTTGCCCTGAACAAGACTGATCTGCTTCTTGCGTATCACATACACCCCAACAAACAGCACACTCGCTGAACTTCCCCCACTGGAAACACAGCACGATTTGAAATGTGGTTTGGATGGGACAACATCATGTTTGCAGACTCATACACTCTTTGAAGCTGGACCTGAAAAGCACATCAGCGCCTAAAATTATTGAGATGCTTGGAGTCTACTGTCTCTGGAAGACAGCTCCCACAAGGACTTTCCAGTGGCTCAGCTGCTTTGGTGAGAGGGCTCCAAAAGCCATCCACACCACCACATTTTGACCTCAAAACCATTCTGAAATTTTCCTTTTGGCACATGTAAAAAAGTGATTTATTTTCATCAGGATTCAAGGAGTTCTGGGCCTCCTCAATTTGTTGTGGAGTAACTATATCCCCTTACCTACTTTTCTTAAGGAGCCCATTAAAAAAAGGATTTTTGACACATGCTCAAACTAACAGAACTGGATTATTCACAGACAGAATGGCATATAACATTTTTCATCAGATAACACTAGACAGACTGACAGCAGCCCTCCTTTCTCCTGTCTCCTTTTGAACAGCCCAGCAAATTAATTTTCCTTCCTTAGATGAATCTCACTTGGAGAGGAATCCAATCACCAGGCTACAGGCTGCCCTAGCAGGGACCCTCTCCCTGCTCCTTTCCTTGATCTTGCTTCACTGCTCAGAAAAATAATTTGAGACTCACTGGGGCAGAGACAGATCAACACAAGGAGCTGAAATTTAAGCCTCATACAGAAGGCACAGGGCTGGGCAGGTAGAGCCTGTGCTTCTGTAATTTATTTTAAACAGCTCCTGGATAACCACAAAGCTTTTGAAAGAACTATCTCAAACGTGCTCTTTTACATGGCTTCTAAAGCCATACAGTCCCACCTCTCAAAAGTCTAGAGAGAGATGGTGAACCTAGATCCTCAATTTTACTCCAACAATCAAAAATCTAAATGTTGGCCACCAATGTCCCCAAGCTTTTAGATGCACCCACATGATTCTTTTCATCCAGCCCTTTCACCAGCTTCATAGTGTTGAACTACTGATGAAGTCAGCATGCTGCAACTTCTATTAAGATGATACGATTTAAAGAAATCTTGTTGAATATTAATGACTTTAGAGTAAAAAAATATCTGTGCTCCTCTCTAAGTTTTTGAGGAGCTCTTTTGATTTACTGAATCAGATTATATATGGGAGCACTTTGGACTACGTTTTGTATAGGACATGGTTACAATGAACTCCTTTAACTTGTATGCTTAGAAAGGAAAATTGGTTCAATTTGGATTCACCATGTGAATTTGGATTTAAATTTGGATTCATCAGTGTTCTCACCATGAAGCCACCCTTCAACTATAACTAATTGTTAACACAATTTTGGTCTGGATGTCAGTTTGAAGGTTTTATACTGACAAGTGCAGTGGATTATTTTTTACCCTCTCATGGTAGAAAGTGTGTTTTCTCCCAGCCATCTTTCTTTAAAGCAGCAAATTAAATGCTGTATTTTGTTAAGAGAGAGTTTTGAATGTCACCCAAATAGAAAAGAGAAGCCAAATATTATCCTCTTTTAAATGGCTTCCATATGCCCCATCATGGCTGGGGACATGGGTAGCACACAGACAGAGGACTCCATTTGAACTCCAATCCAAATGTGCTGCCTGCTCCACAGCAGTCCTGCAGCAGGACTGTTTGTGTCCAAAGGGACAGGTAGAGGTCCACAATAGAAAGAACACCCCCTCTTGAAGCAAGAGCATGCTGGATCCTGAAAGCATTCACTCCAACACTATTTTATGCTCATCAACTCCCGTGCTCATCCTTAAGGAACAAGACAAATAACAGGGCAGAGAACAGGCTAGAAAATAGAAATTATGGAATTTTCATGTTTTCCTTTCCCTATGGATTAAACCACAGTGCAAACATTCACGGGGTTCCAGTCTTCAAGATTATACCTCATTCAGCAACAACAATAATGTGTACAGTATTTGGTCAGCTTACACATAGTGCTGCACTCAACATAAGAAAGCAATTAGTCATTGCTTGATAAGGAGGTAAAAGAGAAGAAAATCTTGCCAAGTAGCAATCGTATTTTATGCCTCTGTTTGATATGCATTTATATACCAATATTTCTTTCCAGACACTTGCAAATTTATATGTCCTTAAAGGAAGAGTTCTAGGGAAAAGCTGTAAGTATAGTTAAAGAGAAACATTTCATAATACAGAAATATAGAGGAAGTATATGCTTAAGGGACACATTTTTCAGGGGAAAAAAAAATTCTTGAACCATATGTTGCTAATACACAGAGAACTTCCTGGTAATGGAAAGCTAAGGCTTTGTGAAGCTATTAATGTGTACCAGATGGTCACTAGGTAGAGAGAAGTTCCATACAAATACAAGGAATCAGCATATTTATTCTCTCTGTTACTAATGTATTAGTCTAGTACACGCTGAGAAGCAAGCTTACACAGCTAATTGAAGCAAACTTTCTTCCACTGGATTTTGAGGAAACAGGGCAGGAACAGATTAAACCTTAATAGCCCATCCCAGTTGTGGTAGGGCTGTATTTGCAAACACTTACTACTAGGCAATGATACTGCTCCTGTAAGCAGTATCACAGTGTTCTGCAAGTGCCTGAATAGCCAGTCCCACTGGGTGAATTTCACCTCTGAGCAGAGTAGCACCACAAATGTATGACCTATTTAAGTTTCTTTCATAAACAGAGAAAAGACTGAAGTGGCAGGCAACCCAGTCCCCAGTCCTGGCCCTCTTGCACCCAGCCATTATGAAGCCTTTACAATGCACTATATAGTTCTCAACACATAGTGGGCCTTTTTTTTCCCATTACACCATTTTTTTACCATTCTAACTTGCAAATGAAATTTGTTTAAATTTAACGAGGCTTTAGCACATCTGAGATGTGGCCAGATTCTCTGAGTTAATAACGGTTAATACAACATCTGAAAAACCAATTCTGCCTTTGTTTTAAAACAAAGCATCCAAATAACGGTACACATAGTGCTTTTCAAATGTCTTTGTTTAAAGAAAACATGTAAAAACCAAATAGACACACTTTTAAAAAATCTGGCTTAGGTGCTTCCATTATTTGGAAAAACTTTTCAGTTGGAGTGCTGTAATCAAGTAACAGAGGCAGAGTAAAAGCACTTAGTGCCTAAAAGAACAGATAATGATTCAGAAACGCTGCACTTCTGAAACTATAGCTTGTTCTGAAGTGCACTTGTAAAATGCAAAGAGGTTTTTTTTTCAGGTTTAAAACAAAGACAGATTCAACTATCAGTATTTGATCGTTGGTTTAATATGCACAAGTCATTAGAATCTCAGAGGTTAAGATATCTGCACGCTATCCTATTAACAGCTATAGCAATCTAATTAGACAATTAGAGGGAAAGTTAAATCAATACTATAGAGGGAGAAAGGACTATGGCTAGGGGGTAATATAAGGGCCCAATTCACTAAGAATTGATGTTTCCAAAGGTAATTGAAACTGCTTAGACTTTTGCAGAGTGATCTAGCTTAATCTCCTTGTTTAAATATGTGGGTCCTGCATAATTCCTGTCTGACTTTCTGCATCCATACCTTCAGTCCGCTATCCTCTCCTTGGGTATCAATTTGAGTCACCTGTGTGGACTTTGCACTTTACTTGTTTGCAACTGATCATGTGAGACTGCCTTAGGAAGAGAGCCCATGTGCCGAAATCAGGAGGAGGCTGGTGCCAAGAATACAAAGATTAAGGGTTTGGTTCTCCTTTCATTCACACTGTTACAGATTGGCAGTAAATCTGTTGAAGGAGGATGATTTATAGTGGCATAAGTGAAGAGAATCAGGCCTTATGACTTCTTTTGGAGCTTCAGATGACTTTGGGTATATTTAGCCCACTGAGCATTCACTCAGTTGGCATTCTGGTACCGGTGTTCTGAGGCTTAGTCTATTGTGATATACCATTACCTTTGCATTAAACTGTACTCACTAACATCAAAATAGATAATTCATATTGTTTTTTCAAGATGCATAATTACTCAGACCAGTCTCTACAGTTGGCAAACATGAACATGTTTACTGAGACTGGTTTACTACCTCATCCTAGAATTTTTGCACCCTGAAGTGGAAGATCAATAAAGGGTCAGTAGTGGCAGGTGAAAAGAAAGCCCAACTGTAAAACCATCAGAATAGGTATTTTAACTAAACCAATAAAAGGGGGAGCTGACTTGCCTGGAGACAAAGTTATCAGGATGTACCTGAGAGGGGTCAATGAAATAAACCATAAAAGACAGGACATGAACGGGAACCCATGTTAATGCTGGGTCAGCATTTCTCCATTGTACCTGTCTGTAAAATCCTACTTTAAAAGCTGTGTTCATTTATGGAGTCTCTTTTTGAGCTTGACATGCCTGGACAGTAAAATGTACTCTCTTTTGTTAACTGTTCTCTCTTGGACTACAGCTTTTTTTCATCTGCTGCTCACTTGAAACACTTTTCTGCTTTCTTGGTCAGATTAAAATATCAGTTTTTACTAAAGTGCCTACTAATACTCTAGCTGGCAGGATCCAGAACCACAGTTCCACAGCTATAACTCTGCAGACTACGGAATTCACTTACAAGTAGGACATCTAGAACATTTCTGGCACACCAGCACTATACCCAAAGACACTGTCTTTATCTTCACATTCAGCAGAATGGATTTTATTACTACTTTTCTTTAATTACTGTGCATTAAAAATACAGTAATTTCACAATGAAAGAAGTGTAAACCCTCTATGCAGATGAAACTGTGAGTCTTCCATATATCAGAAAGTCTCAGCTTGCCTTTGATTTTGCATGTTCCCTTCACTGGTTTTCACTACCACACTTTCAAATAAGTTTCACCTGCACATTTTTCATTTCCTGGTAATAAACAGTAGGGGGAATTTGATTTTATTTTTACAAATGTTGAACAGCATTACTGTGCCTCCAGTTATGTAAATTCTGCTGTACTGAACTGTCATTGGTTCAGTTTCATACCTACATACTCTGCAGGCATGGGATGAAAGGATGAATTAAAAGTTCATCACAACTTCACATCAACCTACCTCTTGCTGTGTTCAGCCAAACGTATGGTGAATTTGATCTAGCCCTAATGAACTGCTACTCTTGTACAGCCTGAAAGCAACTTCACAAGGAAGCTCCCACCGCTCATGGAATTCTGCCATTGACTTCACTGGCAGCTCTTAGCTTGTGAGTACTTGTCTTTGTTCAGGATGTCTGTAAGAAAAGCTATTGAAATATATGTCTAGGTTTGAATTTAAAGTGATTATTTATTCTGCAGTGATTCCTCATGAAGGCATTTATTCTTCACTCCAAGAAACAGCATAATCTTCTTCCAAATATGCAAAACAGAGTGGTAGAAAGCACTATGAGCACAGATTAACAGCTGCCTCATGGGAACCTGCTACTCTAGGCTTGCAAAAATGATCCTCTTCAGTTCAGGTAATTTAATTTGCTATGTAAATTTGAATGGACAACATAAATGACTCACCCTAGAAGTGACAAGAACCTTTAGGAACTGAGGCATAATCCAGTCTCAAACCACATGGGTAAAAGGCTAATTTTCCTTATGAGAGATCTTTCTGTAACCCAGGGATAGTTCTGCTTTCCCTAAGGTATCTCTGAGTGGCTGCTGTAGCAGTAATGACACCACCCTGGGCAGCTCATAAGTGGGATGTGAGCTACTACCTTGTTTGTCCTGGTGAACAGATAAGATGCATCACTGTACCTGAGTGTTTCTTTGAGTGTCCAGATGAAGCATGCTCTTAATCATGTCTGCTGACATGACAGTAAAATAGGCCTTATCTGACTTTAGTTCAATGGAGACAGTTTTGAGGAAAGACAAGAAAAGAGGGATTGAAAACCAAGAGGTATGACTTAATCCTAGTTGTGATTAGTGAATCGGGCCCTCAAAACCAAGACAAAACAAGTAAAATAGGGTAACAACTATTTGAGTATAGATACTACTAGCTAACACAAGGATTTGGGGAGAATTTTTAAAAACACTCATAAACTGACCATACACTGTGTAGTAAGACATTTTTTGATCAGATGGAGCAGTTGAAATGTCTATGAACAAAATAAATTGGGAAGAACCATTAAATATAACAAAAGTATGAAAATATTTTAAAGTTTGGTAAAAAGTGATTCCTCCAAAATGGATTTGCTGTCAATAAATATTGAAACCAAGAACTTCCTTACCATTCAGGGCTACGAAGGAATCTGAAAGACAAATAACAAGGGAAATATCATTATTTGTATCTTGTTTTTTCTTGTAAGTAGTTTGCTGATAATAAGTGTTAATGTTTCAGCTGATATTTATAAGCATGAGATTTATACTAAGGACCCAGGCAAAACTAATGTTCAGACATACCCAAAAACAATGTCTGGCTTTGAAAGTGCTCACGACCAGCTCTGTACAGGAGGTACTGAAGGAGGGAGGGCCAGTGTCCCCCCTGCTTTCCTTGTAAATCTTAGTCTAAGGCAAGGCATTCCAGGGATGCAGCCAGCAATGTGAATCAATGAGGACAAAACTCAGGTGACCCAAGATCTCATGAAGTAATAAAATCAGCTGCATTAGCAGGGAATGAAATCTACCCCTGTGCAGTGTCAAGGTTCAATGCACTATTCAGGGCTAAAGAGGGATTTAAGAAGGGTATAGGCTTTGTTGCTCTCTGCACAGAAGCAGATCTCTCTCCATGAGCACAATGTGCTGTTCCTGAATAATTTCCTACCCTCCTTTTATATGTAACTGATATCAGGTACACTCCACTCCTGCCTAACCTATTTGCCCAAGGAGAGCAGGACTGGCTGAAAAGGGCAAACATATACCAGCTGGGAACTGGCCTGATTTTGGTGCTAACCCATTTTACAGGGGAGCAGAGGGGAGGTCTATTTGTACATCTCCATCAAAAACCTTTGCAATGGTCTATATCAACCTATCTTAGGACAGAGGCTGAAATCTTTGCACTCCTCCACGCAAAGTCATGAGAGTAATTAATGCCTCTTGAATAAAGAAGCACAAGGCATGAGAAGGCTCTGGCTTTCTCCAGAGTGTCTGGCCTACACCATGTCCCATGGCACAGCCTAGCCCCCTGTTATTTTTCTCTGTATTGCAGAAGTAATGACTCTCTCACTGTACATTGATTCCTCAGCTTCATCAGTACAAATTACACTGAAAAGAATGAGAGCCTTGATTTCATGAGGTTTATAATTAGTGTTTGGAGCTCAGAATCAAACCAACCTTGCTGAGAACATTTGGAACAAGAGCTGTCCTGAACACAGATGTTGGTATTCCTGAAGGCTCAGAAATCAGCAAGGTTTCTTTGCATACAGTGCAAGCTATGCACTTTTAAGCATTTCAGAACCAACCAGTAAATGTTTAAAGACTGTGTTTAAGCTTCCAGCTCACACTGTCAGTACTTAAGGTTTACTATTAAAATTTCATAGGCAGTGCCAATAGTACCTGACCCTTAATACCATGAGGTTGTCCAGACTGTATGTAAAATTCCCTAAGATTCACAAACAAAGCAGTTGTCATTTCTTGATCCGGATCCAAAGCTGAAGATATATTTCTCTGTCTCACTGTGCTTCATGCAAATGTAGTCCAAGTCACAGACCACACCAAGAAACCAAGCCACTTCTGTACATTTACATACACAACCCAACCACCAGGCTAATAAAGACAATGGCCCCAATTCATTATGCCATTGCTGTAATCAATATCCTCTAGAGCTAAGCTTTTCTCATTATGCAACCACTCTGAAGTCCAGTGTTTGTACAAATCGCATGAACTGGGCTATTTTCCTCAAACACATTTAAAAACAGTTCTTCTGAACCTGCACCATTAGCTACATTGCTGTCCCTGCCATGGCTTATGTTGCTACAAAAGAATGCCTGACAGGTAATGGTGATTTGAGGCATTCAGAAGGATACTGTGACACATGGTAAATAGAGGTAAAAGCTTTGCTTACTTTGGCAGTCACCCAGGCCATCTGTATTGCCACGTTCTATGTCCTGTTCAAATGCCAGTCTAAATAATAGAAGGAAACAAAACAGTATGAATAACAACAGTCATAGGCACAACCAGAAAGAAATTATCACATGTTCAATTGAAATAAATCCCTGCTGTGAAACTGGCTATTTCTTTGGAAATTCCACACAAAGCCTGAAAAACCGCAACATACACATTTGAGCTATTCATCATTGCTTAATGATTTCTTGGCTTCTGGTGATACTTTTTCTTTATATTATTACTTTTTAAAAATCCACAGCATGCCTCGTTACCAAGGGAAGAAAAGACTAGCATTTTTTAAGCTGTTAAATATAGGATGTTATCAGAAGCAACTGTAACCTGTGCACAGAGTAGATCAGGTGCACTGGCACTTTGGTGTGAGAAGGAAGCCAACCCATTGGGCAGGTAATGTGCTTGAGGAAGAAGCCTGCATTTCAGCAATCACTTAGATACAGCACCAGATGAGGCTGCAAGGCATAAGGTCCATCCCACAAAAGGTATTCCTTTTAAGTCAGGGGCTCTACTGACAAACACTCATGTGCTTTTCTAGCTGACATGCTCAGCTTATGCTCCCATGCTCTCTCTGTGATTTTGGATAACTGTTGAAGTTGTTCTTCCAACTTCCTGTGTGGTCAAAGGTGAATGACAAGAACCTTGGAAAACTTCCAAACACAAGCCCTTGCCTATGTTAGGATCCTGCCCTTGAGGCATAATTACTCTTGCAGACCACTCATTCTAACTCTGTGTTCTGAAAACACCTGCTCTACTGTCATCTACTCTAGGAGGATGACTAACACCTCTGCCTCCTGTTGGTTAGCTTAGAACCAGATACCTTCACAGCTGATCTGTACCCCCTTCCTAAGCACTGGACAGAGCATGGGCTGCCTTGATCACTTTTGGACTTCATCACTGCAAGCTGCACAGCCTCTGTCTCGATGGATCTATTGATGAAAATGGGAGCTGCTTTTAAAAGTGAGCTATGGAAGTCCCCTACAAGTTGCCATGGAAGTTGAAAAAGTCTCAAGCACTTTTTGGAGTGATGAAAAACCTGATATGGACACAGGTATATTTTAACATTATCCTACCAAATGTCAAATCAGAAACAGCCCACACTTTTGTAGTCAAGCATATATAGACACATACAGATACAGCATCCTCAGCAGATGGTGGAAATCACCAAATTAAGAACAAGACAGAAGCACAGGGATTGTAATTTGTCCATTATAGAGTGAGGAACTTTAGAGAAGCAGGGTTAAGTGGCGTCAGATGCAGGGCTGTCAAGGCTCTGTGATGTCTGTGCTACACTTCCACTACTACCATGAGGGAATGTTGCTGGTAGCTCAGAGTGGGCAGTCATGTGGTGTGTCAGAAGTGGCCATGAAATGTGAGCTCTGAAGTGGGTTTGCTCCTTGTAACCTTCACAGACTTTCATTATCATAAAATAATTAAATTCTACTGTTAAGCAAGGGGAGATCCAGCACTTCTCTAAATCTGTTTTAAGCCCTTACTGTGCTCTGTTATTCCTCTTAGTAATGCACAGTAAATTAGAAGGACTGGTTTTGTTTTCAGTGGACAAATTACTTCAGTAATTTAATTTGGATTCTATTGCCTCTTTAATCAGCTGTGATGGCTCCAGTGTAGGCTGGTCCAGACATATCCATCCGATTCACTCCTTTCAATAATACACGGACCTTAATACAGCTCTTTCATTTTCTTCTTCCTCCTCTTTCAGCAGTTACCACTCAGCTAACTGTTCACATCAAAAAAATTTGTGAGACATTTCGGAGGTGAATGCAAATAAGACAGAAACAAACACTTCCCACATTTTTCCCTCTCTAAAAGCCTTATGTTTCAAATAGCTTTTCCCAAGACTGCCTGGCACCACCGCCAGAGCTCCACGGCCCATCCAGCCAGAGCCCTTACTCACTTGGAGCCAAGGACCAGCTGCGTGCATGCCCCGCTCTCCTTCACCCATCCGCAGTACGGGTCCCTCGATGCTATGCAGGCCCTTGGGAGAGAAGAGCACAAGGCGGCATTCAGGAGTGCTCTGGCTTGCCCACTGCCCAGGCCCCTGACAGCCACCCCAAAACACGTACTTTTTGCACTTGCCGTGACGCTCGCAGCGTCCCAGGGGAACCTTGATGATGCAGGTGGAGAAGGCGACGTACAGGGCGCTGCTGGGCTTGTCAAGCTGCATGCCCATGATCCGCTTGTCCTCCATGCCGTCGTAGCTGCACCTGATTTGGATAAAAGTGGGATGTGGTTACAAGTGGGCTCTTCTGGGAAGCCAGGGGAAGCCTTAGTGGTCCCCCAGGCTGAAAAAATAAGATCGCATAAAGCTTTTGCCAAAAAATCAGTAAGAAAGGTAGACTTGAACAAGTCAAGGAAAAAGAACACACAATAACCACTAAAAATACTGACAGACATATAAGTATTAAAAAATGCATGGGATAGTTAAGAATTTGGGAGCAACAGCACACCAGATAAGCTTCTGACGGCCCTTCACACACCAGATAAGCTTCTGACGGCCCTTCGTTTCTGTGTTTATTCTTCTCCAGCACTCAAAGTAGCTGAAATTTCTGCATGATTATGGCTCACTTCAAAACCCCCTTAGGCATATTTGAGGAAGACTGAAATGTGGAAAATTTCCCTTGGAGAGTATCTTGCTGCTTGTTGAGTTATTTGGAGAGGAATCAGGGTTTTTTATAGGATTAGAAAATTAATCTTCCTTTCCAGAACTTCACTTTTAATTATCTATCAGCTGCTGCATAGGATGGGCTATTTTCTACACAGACTGAATAAAAAAATCTTATTGCAATGTAGAGACTGATAAGCAGACATCCCCTCCCTAAACAATTTAAAATTACCAAAAAAACTTGGCTTCTCTAACCACTTCCGTTTCCACGGGATATATTATTCTCTGGGAAATCAGAAGTTCAAAGTCACCCATACATGAGTACAAAGAATCAGATACACACTTTTCAGGATTGTAAACATTGATCTCCTCCAGGAAAAGGCTGTCATTTAGGAAACCAGTGTTTCCTGTCCGTGCCAAGAACTTCAGGATGATTCCCTTCTCTGACCCCAAGAAAACCACGGTATAGTTCTGATATGGCCCAGCAGCAGAGTCAACAGCAATTTTGGTCAGGCGATATCTAAAACAATAGAGCATTTTCACAGATAAATCACAGAGATAATCACAAAATTTTAATTTAATCACTTTCTTCACATCAGATAAGTGTATGGTAGCCTTCTAGCAACCATAAAACACATTTAAGCACTTTTCCTACCTGACTACAAATCAACACAGACTGTACCAATTTGGCTCCCCAGATGCTGGGGAATTTTCACGTGTTTGCATGCCCACACATCCAATAGCCAGCAGAAGTGTCCAGAAGTTCAGAAACATGAAGGGGTGCTAGGAGCCTGAGGGCATTTAGGAATAATCCTTCCAAAAGCCTGGTGATTTCTTCAGACAGGGATAGAGAATCAGCATGGTGAACTGTTTTTAAAATTTCAAGCTCTGTCACATTAAAAGCAGCTGAATGAGGTTCAACTTGTTTTGTCAGGAAAAGCTGTGTCAGTGCAAGACTAAGACACTAAACAGCACTTTACCTCACTAAAAGTAATCACACAGCCACCACCAAGCAAGTTCAGCACTGAGGTGAAATCAAATCTTGGGGTGACACAATTTATTGAAAACAATAAATTGGTGGTTTGGTACCAGTTGGATGGTACTGCCTATCAAAGGGAAGCACTCCATGAAGCTTGCTACTCTCATCTTTGGTTGGAGCTACAGAACCTGACAGAAAAACCTGTCATAAGATACACTACAGAACCGAAGTCAGATCCTTCTACAGAGCTAAGTGCCCAACACAATATTCTACCTTTGTTCAGAGGAAAATACGGCAAAAGTTAGTCACATTATTCTGTTCACTGCCGCAGGGTAGATAAGTAGTATAATGACCACAATGTACATTCCCCACAGAGAGTGGGAATGTATTTTGATACATTCAAAGGAAGGGGATGGTGCATTTAGCACTTGCTGATTTATGAGACTTTGTTCAATCTATTATTATTTTTTTTCTTGTTGCCATAGAAAGGATGCAGATTATGCGATTACTTCTGCCCTATACACTTCTGCAAACATTAAAGCTTTCCAGTACATAACCTGACAGACATCTACATATCCTGTGAACGTATCCTGGCAGACATGTTTGTATCCTGTGTACATATTCCTGAGTTGTCTGCTGATCCTTGCCTGAAGTTTTTACCGAGGCGTCTCAAACATTGACCTGTAAGCCAAAAGGCGATTAAACTTCCCCACACAGCATTTCCTACAACATCCAGTTTCAGCACAGCATGGTTGGAAAAGACTGAGGTCTTTCCTATCTTGAAAGCTCCTCAGGGAGTTCCGCAGCATCTGCTCTGCTCTGCTACCATTCCTAGCTGGGTTCGTACCCAGGACACTGAGGACATGTGCAGAGTTGGAGGGTATTTGGAAGCAAGGCTATTAGCACAACTTGACAGCTAGAGTGCGGGCAGGAACTCACTCGGTGCACATACCTGACCATTGTTCTCAGGAACCAGGGTCGGTTGACAATGGAAGGTACAGCCTCGTCCATCAGTGGATGTGTTTTGATGAAGTTCAGAGTATCATCTGGGAACTCATTAGATGTTACATATTTTTCTAATGATGTAGAGCCAGCACAGCAACCAGGCCTATACAAAACAAGAGAGTAAAGCCAGAAAGCTTAAGTTTGACATAGAGGGCAAGCTTCCTTTTATGATGAAGTTCTAACTGAATATGATGTGTTTTACAGGAGTTTGACTTGGCAGAGGATCGATAAATGTGGTGGACTTGTTCAGCACCTCAAGGGAAGCCTAAAATCCTGCTCTGTCCTCCATTCAAAAGGACTTCATGTGTCACTTATGAGCACAAAGTCATTTTTTCATCAGGAGCACTACACACACAGTTTTGTAATTTATCCATTCACATGGAATGTAATCACAGCATGTGTGCATTTGGGTTGATGCTTCCCAATTGCACAGGTGTTTTCTGATCTGTAACTTGCCTAATTGACTGCTCTCTCCTGGAATAAAAGAAGTCCCTCTAATACAGTAGGAAGTTACTTTTTTTTAAATGTGTATGAAAAAATGTTACTTTTAGTCACATCTGATAGAAAACAGACTGTTCAAGAAGACAAACTGAATAGCATCCATGTAAACATTGGTTTTGTCCTTTGTTCAATTTGGAGGAGATGATTTAAGAATGGTAGCTCATTGAGAACTTTCACTGAAAAGTTACCTCGCATTCTTTAACAACCTAAATGCAAATCTGCTTGTGCTATTTCTAAAATCTACCTGCTCCTAAGACATAGTTCAATCTTCTTGCCTGGACAGGCCATCTCTCAAAAAAGCAGCAAAATGTTTTACTTGTTAATATTGTGTAGGTAATATAAGAATCTCAGTTTGGTGGAACGCTCTTTTTTGCTCTCCATAAATCATCCATTGTGGCACTTAAACTGCATGTTAATCATAGAATAGCAAACTGCAGAACTGGTGCAGGCTTTGTAATGAGATATATCTGTTACTGAACCAATTTGCAACAACTGTGTAATTCACATCACTCTTAAGTGATTATTCTGACCAAGTGGATCTGATGCTGGCCTGATATATGTTACACAAATCTCATTTAATTGGAAAAATCTCTATTGCATAGTTTAGATCCAAATTCAACTCAACTTTTACGTTATTTTTTCAACATGTATAATTGTATCGGCACCTTACAAGGCTGTTCAAAATATGAAAAAGCCTCTGTAGCCCACATGAAGGAACTGAATAATATCACTATGCATGAAACATACCTGGGCTTGGGCACTCGTTCATCAGGAACTGGTGTCCATGTGGAGTCTGGAGACTTTTGTTCTTTGAATCTCCCAGTAAATACATTGGCAATGTCAAGCATGTCATAGGCACAGACTGCAGAGCCAGGGATGCTGCAAAGTGACATTTCCCAGAAATTGTTACTCATTCTGCAGTTATGCATAAAACCTTGAGTGAAAAATATGCTTTATAGAAGCCTTCCTTTACTCAATACTGAACTCTGAATCTGGTATTAACCGGAAAAGCCAGCCCCATGGTAAAGCCTGAATACCAATCAGCAGGCAGCTCCTGCCAAGATATTTTATTCAAAGCTTCTACAGAAAGAAGTACTTGCAATAATCTTGAAGAAGGGAAAGAATCGGTGAAACTCTGGCTATCACTGGCAATGCATGAGGAGCAATCACCAGTCTCATTCAAAACCCATTACTTGGACATTTCAGGTCTTCTAAGTCATAGCATTTCTCAGTACCGAGAGTCCTGTAGTCCCTGCCATTCCTCAAAAAACACATTGCAGATAATTCAGAAACTGGTTCTAATCAAACTGGAAGCGTGCTGCAGTGTGCCATTTACCTGGCTTTTACATGTAATTTGTTCATGCTCCCACAGCCTGACATCCACAAAGTGCTCCCAGTGAAAAGGAGTTAACTATGCTCAGGAGTTTGCTCTACTCAATGAAATCTAAAAAGCTTATACAAACAAATTTGATATTATTTTAAGATCATAACATTGCAAGTTTCAACTTTTTGGATACTTGCATGCAACTCCACAACAGCATTGTCCAAACATCGTTAATTTTTTACCAACATACTTTCTGAAAGGTGTATGGATTTAGCATGGTTAGTCACTTGGAAGCACGAAATATTCATTTATCACCTATTTTTTTTAAATTTTGTACATGAACTACTGTATTTGTATCTGACTCCCACCACTTGATTTTATTGGGTAAATAGCATGAAACCAGCTGGCTGAGGCTTTCAATCCTGCTCTTAGCTAGTAGGTCTTTATACATCAAAGAAAAAATGTAGGAACTATAACACTGTTACAGAGGATGAAGCTAAACTCCTAAAGGTATATAAATTTATAGAAAAACAACCATTTGAAGAGTAAACAATTTCAAAATGCTTTTTACTGAAGAAAAACAACAAGTTGAGAGACAGTACAGTAGTTTTATTTTGATCTCCACAGATTTATTTTCTTATAGAAGGAAATGTCAAAGCTCAATATTAATGTGATACTGCACAGCAGGAGTTTTAAATGGAGGCAGCCATATACATGTTGATGTAAGAGACGGTGAAGGGTGTATTTCGCCACAGAGGACCTCAGCTCAAGACCCACTCCAGCTAGAATATTTTACACATTACTGAATTAAGTCCTAAAGACAAAAAAACCACCATAAAATCTTGAGGTGTGTTACACACAACTACAAGTGCTCAACACACAACTACACATGGATGGAGGCATTGCTGTGCTCAAAGGACTGCAACATCTTTTACTTGTGAGGGTGGCAGATTACAGGTCTGTGGTATGATGCAGTGGGAAGGATGGAGCACTGTGGGTCACAGCCAAGGGGGTCCAAGCCACCTCTGAACTACTGGACTACAACTCAACACTAGCTTCTACCTGAGTGACCTCTGATTAGACTGAGGAATCTCTTCCACTTCAGTCTAGAAGGAAACTTTGTTCTAGAGACCAAAGGTATTTGTTTCAACCTTTCTTTAGTGGAGAAGGAATGAGAGATGCATTTATGTCAGAAGTAGGTTTCATACAGCTACAGAATCAGAATATCCTGAACTGGAAGTGACTCACAAGGATCATTGAAGTCCAGTTCTCCTGCACAGGACATCCCAAGAATCACATCATGTACCTGAGAGCATTGTCCAAATGGTCCTTGATGTTTGTCAGGCTTGGTAACTTCCCTGGGGAGCCTGCTCCAGTTCCCAACCACCATCTGAGTGAAGAACCTATTTTTTGTAATATCCAACCTAAACCTCCATGACTCAGCTTTCCCAAGTCCTCTTACAGGCCACCAGAGAGCAGAGATTGGTTATTGCCCCTCCTCTTCACCTCATAAGGAAGTTCTGTACTGCTGTGAGGTTTTCCCTCAGTCTCCTCTCCCCCAGGCTGAACAAGCCAAGTGGCCTCGTTCACTCCTCATATGCTTCCCCTCAAGTCCTTCACCACTTTCGTTACTCTCCTTTGGATGGTGTCTGATATCTTAGATTCTTCTAATATTGTGGTACTCAGAACTGCCCCCAGCACACGAGGTCATGCTGCCCCAGTGCGGAGCAGAGCAGGACAATTCCCTCCCTTGTTTGATTGGAGATGCTGTCCCTGATGTCCCCCAGGACACACTTGGCCCTCCTGGGTGCCAGGTCTGCTAATAAGCTGTGTCCAAGAATATATGTCTTCCTGTCATCTTCCATGTGTAGCAAAACCTGCGGCCTTTAAAATAGTATTTTGTTTTTGACACCAAGTACTTAGATTCTAAAATGCAAGACTTAAGGAAAAGAATTATTCATGACACGCCACAGGAAATACCAGCAGAGTGGGAGTACAATCTCAATGTTGAGATAATTGCAAGATACAATCTATTTTCTGATGTTGAATCCCTATTTGTTCACCTGTTTTTATTAAGCCAGATTGCATGAAAAGAGATCATCTTAATTTAAGCTTGTATTCCCTATTGGTGGCATAATTATTCCATTGCAGTTCTTATTGTTTTGATGTCAAAAGCAGTGATTTTACATTACAGGCCTACGCTTACTCTCATTTGAAGTCAGTTCTGTGAATGACCTTACTGAGGTCAGGCTTTGACAAGGGGTGGCAAGGATACAGCAAAACTAAATGAATTTCAACAATAAAATTCCTCTTTTAGCTCAAATGTTACTCTGTGAAACTGTGATATATTTTTAATTAGAAAACTACTATTTTTTTTAACTTCTTTGGGATTTCTCAATAATTAGATACAGTTATTCTAATAACTTCCAGAGAAACACGCTAAAATGTGTAACAGTAATAAAATCTCTACAGATGAATTGACGCTTTTGGAAAATCATGCAAACAATGAAATAGGTGTTCTAGGGACCTGCCTTCCCAGACAGCAAGACCTTCGTTCTCCCAGGATAGTCAGGGGGCAGCAGGGTCAATGCAGGGTCAAGGATCAATGCAAGAGTCACCAGGGATGCATAAAACAAAAAGAAGTAGATAACACGGTTCTTGGAGGTTTAGCTAGAGACAGGACAGACACAATCCTTTCTTTGTGAGGAAAAAAATACTGTATTTTCTCTTTGGAATAATATTCTGCAAGTTACATGCTGCAACACTTGGTGGCTGGTGTGAACTATTCCCTTGTAAAGAAAAGTATATCCGAGGAGTGTGTCCACATAGTAAATGGCTGAAACCCACCCTAAGTTATCAGGTGTGAAGCAAGCAATACCAGGGTGCCTTAAAATTGAACACAAACTATCAGTAAGTGCAGCGTACATAATAATTATGTTGTACTAGCAATCACTTCTTGTGCTTGCATAAAGTAAAAAGGAAAAAAGCAAAACATTTTTTGTGGTGAAAAGCAAAACATAAAGGAAATAGAAGGTAAAAGGTTATTGTGGCTATTACCTATTATATGGAGTGGAGAATGTTGCTAAAACAACATCCCGGCCATTGAAATGGATAACATCTGTGACTGACTGCAGTATGTTAAAGTAGAAGTGTGAGTCGCCAGGAACTGAGCAGTTCAACCGAGCCTTGAGAAAGGAAGTCCACTGTTTTTCCAGCACTCTCTGAGATCCTCCCATGTCATTTTTGCAAACCTGGGCCACCCTTGGGAAAACAACCTGGAAGGGATAGAGCAAAAATAATGGAGAAAATTAAATCTTTGTTGGAATACTGCTTTTAAAACATTTGGAATAACACAGCAAGGTGCTTAATTTAATACCACTTTTCTATAATCTGTGACAAATAAGAAACAGAGAAAAATTAAGCTTTGGAACAGTGTGCTATGAAAGATAAGACTATGGCATTTACTACACAGCAATAAATCCTTCAGGAGATCTGTTCTCAACCCATATAAAACTCATTTCCATACAGACTGCTTAGCTTTCTATTTCCCCTAACAAAAGCACATTTCATATTCACAATCCCTGCAACCCACACTGCTGCTCCAATTCTTGTGTTTTCAGCACTTAAAAACTATGCAAATCTTGCTGGGCTTTTATTCCTGCTCTCCACCTTTGTGACCTTGGTCAGCTTTTCTGACTGCTTAGTCAGAAAGCTATTGTGAAATTAGCAAAAATGCAGAAAGTGCTTAATTATTCTTTGCAGAATGGCAGAGCACAAAATTCCTACCCTTGTTTACTCAGCACCCTAATTAATACTTTTTACATTAAAAATTCTTCCTACTTTGGAATCTGTTTTTAACAACTATCTACTGTTGTTAAAATGTACTGAACTAAGTACATTAGCCTTGTGCTTTCTATAATTTCAGAAAAGAGACTCTAGCATACACCATCACTGTAAGAAACTACACATTTTCCTTTCAAGACAGTGCAATGTTTCACTCCAGCCAACCTTTTGGCTTGAGCAATAGGAATCTTCTCAAAATGCTGACCTTGTCATCATGATTTATGGTTCTCATTTCAAGGTCACTTGTAACAGCATTGGTCCAAGAATAGCATAAATTTTCCTCCTCCCCAATCTGACAAAGTCATTCAAGGCAGTGTTTTTGCCCTTACCTTTCCCATGCTGTTGTATTCCACTGCTATTTCCCGGAAGAAGAAGTATATGTAATTGCCATAGTCAACTGCCTGAACAAAGTACGGCTCTAGAAAAAAAAAACAGCAACCCAAGACACCTGATTTAGGCACAGGATACAGAATGCAAAGAGAAGCCAAACACATTCACACTTAATATCCAGAGGTGAAATGCCTGTGCTTGACAAACTTGATCAGTTTTCAGAACAAACAAATCACTGCTGCAGAAGAATCACTGTCTGGGGACAGGAGAGCTGGGAACAAGTCTGCACAACATCACTGCAGGGTAGTTAAGTCTCTGCCACTAATATGTCTGCCCTGCACGGAGTAAGAGGAAAGGTAAACAGGCATTTATAACTGTATGCCTGAGGGGTCCAAGCAGTGCTCTTTATGGCATGCAGGCTGTGAGCTGAGGGAATAACAAACCACGTAACTGTTTCTGCCCACACGTGTCTGTAGCAGCAAGCAAAGTGGGACAGCTAAAGTTGACACCTGGCAAAACATTTCTGCATGCAGAAAAAGACTTGAAACTATGGCTTTGCTCTCTGCTAAAATCACTCCAAATGCTAACAATTCTTAACACCTACATGAAGCTAAACAGTGCAATTCTTAACAATGAGGGCATTTAGAGCACAAAAATTGCCTAATTCAATGGCAGCCATACAATTCTTAAGAACTGTAACAGAAAGGCTTTGTGCAATATTCCCATAATTTTATTTTCATTAATGAATCTTAGCATTACAGCACAAACTTTCTATACTTCATATAGCCTTGATTGTTACCTAACAGTGCTGTGGCAGGAATATTTTCAAACACAGCCCAAGCACACAGAGCCCTGCAAGCTCCAACTTTTCCATCCAACAGACGTAAAGTGGTGGATTTCAGCTTGGAAACCTCACTGGAATATATATTCTGATCTACCCAGCTCACAGCTTCTGTTAAATCCAGTAACTTGAGGTCAGGAGAGGAGTGAAAGAGATAAACAAATCAGAGTAAGCAAGAGATGTAACCTGCTTCCTCCTTTCTGCCAGAAAGCATCGGTGAAATGAAATGACAAAGACGTCTGTCAGAAATCCAAGACCCTCTCATCAGAGATGCTGCTTTTTTGCCACATTTATCTACCTTTCAACCACTTGGAGTCATGTTTAACTGTCCGCAGAGTTGGGCTGTCTCCCAGGCTCCGGTATATGACCGCATCTATTGCAAGGAAGTCAGTCACTGTGGCAGAATACAGCTTTCCCTCTGGGGAGGAAGGAAAGAAGAAACAAGGCGGGAGGAGCATTAGAAATAGTACAATTGCTTCTTCTCTCATCAGTCAGATGAGAAGGGGAAACAAAACCATCACAGTCTCCTTAGGAACACTGAAGGAAGGAAAAAATCCAGCTAGGTAAACAGAACTGAGTACTGAACAAGCAACTCACCCCTCTGCAAAATGGTAATTTCAGAGGGATGCTGTGGAAGAAAATAATCTTACGGAATAATTCTTCTTCAGTTTAGGTATGTCATACTGAACTACTCTATCCAGTCACATGTCACCAGTTCAACGCTCAGAAATTCTGCTTAGGTATGTCAGCAAAACAAATAGAACAGAACTGCTAGTTTTAACTGGGAGTGCAAACCAGACAGTGCTTGAAGACTGTCAGTTAATTGATACTTATGAAAATTTCTCCCCTTGAGAGCACTTCTGCTCTGCCAAAGATCACTAACAAAAATTAAATAACATGCTGGGAGCCCTGCTGAAACAGGAATGAAAAGAGATGGAGGAGGATTGCCCATCAATATTTCTTTTCGAGCATGCATTTTAGGCATTTTCCATACGAATTATGCATTCCTCTCTCCTAAAGAATGGAGGACAAGTGATAAGAAAAGGCCTACAAAATGGCATCCCAAGGACAACCAAAACATACAAAACTATAAGGACATAAAAACTCAAGGTTCAGCAACATTTTAAAATTTTATTTGTTGCCTTCTTTGTTTGCAGGTCGTGATAAATGTACAGGACTGTTTTCATGTGTGAGATAGATCTTGGAACACGATGTCTGCTAGAAGCACAAGTGGTGCAGCATGAGCACACAAAATTGTTTCTCTGTTGTGTCTGCATAAAAATCAGAATTGTCTACATCTTGTTTGACAGAGATTATGTTGGTGTCTAGAAGGCACCAGCACTGAGGAGATTCCCAGGACAAAGCAGAGAGGCTTCTATTGGTCAAGCTCTTCTCATTATACTTTCAGACTTAGTTTAAGACTAAGAGGGAATCTCATTGATGCATACAACTGTCTCATAGGCGGTTGCCAAGAGGAGGTTGCTGGACTCTTTTCAGTGGTGTCCTGCAACAGGATGAGGAGCAGTGGCCATAAAATGAAGCTCAAGAGCTTTCCTCAACATGAGAAGAGCTTCTTTCCAGTGAAGATGCCAGAGCACTGTACCAGCCTTCCCCTGGAGGTTGTGGTCTCCTCTCTGGAGGCATTCAAAGCCCACTTGGACACATTGCTGTGTCACTTGCTGTTGGTGACCCTGCCTTGGCAGAGTGGGTTGGGCTGGACGATTTCCAGAGCTCCCTTCCAACCCTAGAAACTCTGTGAGTCTGTGAATTTCAGCTCCAAATTTAAAATTCCAACTGTCTTTTATTAGCAGTACTGTATGCTTTGTTCTGACTCATGCAATTCTTGCCCTTATTTGGCTACTTAAGAATGATCATTTTTTCTTACCAAAAGAGAAAAAAATTATTACTACATGTGCCCCCCCCCCTCAATTTAAAATAGAATAAAAAGCTCAATTGTTTAGATATGGATGTCTGAACTCATGTTTATACAACCACGGTCTTATTTTCTTTCCTGCCAAGTTCCTGTGACCAACTACAATTCACACACATCAGCTGTAATAGCTACAGGCTGCAAGAAGAGCCATACTCATGTAAGTGCATCCAACAAACTCAGATGACTCAGATTAGTGCCCTAAACTGTTCTGAAATTGCTTTTCATTGCACTCTGAAAAGTTAGCATGGGTATCAATATGTAAGACACATATAACAATGATTTTCTGAAGCTAGCAGATTTACAAGGCATATTCCAGAAATATTTATTTGAACTGTATCAAGTTTATTCCGAATCACCATGAAGGAGTATGATCATTTCTATAAATATTATCTTTATTTTCAAATAATTCAAGGATTTCTTCAGTGACAAATTTGGAGTCATCTTTCTGAACTTCATCTACATTCAAAGTGAATGTTTACAATAGGCTGGTCATAAACACTTTCTTGGCCAATATACTGAGAAAGACCCTTCTGAAAGGTCATTCATGCTGCACTAAGGACAGGGAGTCTGAGATACATGGGAAAAATATTTCTCCGAAGGAGTTTCTCTATTTCCATGTTTTATTATTTACTTGCTGCAGTTAGAGAATTTCTACTGTATATTTCTGCCCGTGACTGTAATTAAGAAATCACATATTACCACTATCATCATCACTATTCTTGAAACAAAAGGACCACTTATTTTCACTATAAGAAGTATTTAAAAAAAGAAAGAAAAAAAAAAGAAAAAATTGAAGCAGGTTATAAAATCTCTCCTTTGTGAGGCAGAGGACGATACCTCTAACATCCTAGTGCTTAATAGAACCTTTGGCTATAGACTTGTTTGAGAATGGCTGAAGTACTTGCACATTCTTAAATCTTCAGAGGAATAGCTTAGTTATTTCCATGTGAGCACCCAGGCTGTTTTATAGCATCACATTTGCTGAAGAGAACTCACATTATCATGGAGGATGTTTTTATTATTTTCACCACCTATCTAACAGCCAGATCTAAGAAAAGATCAGCAGGGTTCACACTACGAGAAGTTCAATAAATAAATAATTTAATCAGGAATTTCTGATGAGATATACAGAAATACTGCACAATCAACAGCCAAAATTTATAAGATCTCACTTTTTCTAACTATTGTAGTAGAAATCAGAATTAACACTATTCTGCTGCATGAAGCATAAATCACCGCTAGCCAATACACATCTCTCCCTTTTCTACAGCAGCTGGTAAGACCACAGTAAGATGCTTTCACTTCAAAAAAAAAAAAAAAAAAAAAAAAATCACCTTCCCTTTCCTTCTTGATCTAGTAAAGGGCATGCCACAGCATTTTCTGTAACTTCCTTTTATTATGAATGTTAGCTTAGGCTTAGACTTGTTAATGAGCATATCCTGCTTAATCCTAATTAAAGCTTACACAAGCCTTGATTTCCTTTGACATTCACAGAAGCTGAATGCAGCCAAAAATGGTGCCTCACACTGGCCATATTATCAAGAATACAGGAAATACTGAAACACTGATCCAGGAAATTGATGCGTTATGCAATGTTGATGACAGTGAAGTTAATTTCAGAGAAGGGTAGGATTTTTTTGCTAGGGATTTTCTCATGCCACCTCTTTTTAGTCATTGTTTACTCCCTTTGACACCACTTAGATTTAGGCATTCTGGGCTCAAGCAAGAGGCACAGTGTTACACCAAGCCTGGGCTGCAGCACAGAAAGTAAAAAAATTTATCTCTGTCATTTTACCTGCAAACAACGCAACGTTGGCATGCTTTGCATCATAGGGGCACCTGGCCATTCCACTGAATTCCTCTTCCAGATAGTCCAAGGTATCCATCTGAAAAATCAAAGGGAGTTCCTCAGACAGAGAAACAAAGAAACAAAACTTCTCACCCAGGATGAAACTTATGACATGTTTCTTCTTTTCTGGGCAGAGGAGAAGGCTTTCTCAAGTAAAAACTTGACAAAAATCATGGCATTAAATAAAATAAGCCTGAAAAATGTATGTCCAGTAAGTCAGGCATTCTTTTGGACTTAATAATTCCCACCCTGACAAATTTTACTGAAGTCTTCAGTCTATATTTTATCTGCACACAAGTTTCATTTGCAACTGTAGCAGGCTATGTGGTCTGTGGTTCTGGCAAGGCTCCAAAATATATCCTCACCAGTGACCCAACAGAAGCGCTCTTATACACAGAAAAGACTGCAAACCACAACCTTTAGAAGAAACAACACTGGGACAATTATCTCTGTGTGCATTTTTCTCTCCCAAGTCCAGAGGTCCTTCTGCTCTAGTCTCAAGAGCGGTGCTCTCTTCCTTGATTTGCATATTCAGAAAGATGCTCTTCAAGTTTTACTGTACCAGTTGAGTCTGTGTCACAGAGAATCCTCTTACCATCAGGCAAGAATTAGTCTGTGCAGGAATTGTAGATTCTGAGGCTTATATGTAACTCCTGGGAAATAAATTCACCCTGGGCACTGATAATGACACAAATATACAGATTTGCTTTACATGAAGCTCAAGAAGGTTTGGTGAGCTAAAGGAGAATTGTACACCTGTTACCCCTTTAAGATGCTTATACTACAGTATTTTGGAAATAAGAACCTTTGTAGCATATTCAGGCAACTTGTCCAGCTCATACTCTATAGATCACATACAGCAAATATTCACAGAGCATGACAAATAACCCACACGGCACCATCCACTTAAATAAACTTTTAATTTGTATGTTACAGCTTCCAAGTCCTTCAGCAGATGATTTGTGATAGTTTGTTTTCCGTCATGTATCCTTCCTGTCAAAATCCACTCTGAGGGGAGTCAGTTGTGTTTACTCAAAGGCTGAAAAGCATTTCATGTGGTAGTGAGAGGAAACAAGTCCTCAGTAACTTTTCTTGCACCCAGCGCCACACCCTTGGCTCATCCTCACAACCACTGGCATGCTTGAGGGACAGCCCTGCTTTCTGTTTGGCACATGTTTAGCTCTCTCTCTGTATAATGAAGGAATACATGGAGGAAAAGCCAGGGCAGGTGTTGCAGAGGCCTTCTGAAGGCTGCCAGATCCAGAGGGATCATTATCCAGCCCTGCATCATGGGGGATGAAAACTCTGGAGTAGGGGTGTAGTACTCTGCAGTAGTACGCCCTGGAGTAAGGGTGAGGAGGCCATTTATATGCCTCACATCAAGGTGCCAAAGAAATCTATAATTATAACTAAAAAACAACTTCCACACAAGGAGACTGGCTGAGATTTGATAGCCTCATTAATGGAATTCAGAGATTAAAAATTACAAACTGTAGTAGAAGAATAAATACAGCCCAGTGATCAAGAAGTTTCATTGCATACTAGGAGCAGGCAAGGAAAGAAAGAATAAAAGAAACAGCTGTTAACAGAGTAGATAACTGTACCTCACAATTACCATGACACAGGCTTGTGTTCTTACTCAAATTTGGTTCTTCCACCACAGACTGGAAGAAAATATTACCCTGTGCTTCTCTTCTGTGTGTGTTTTCTAAACTGCAGCCACTATAGTGGCTAAATGAGGTAAAGCATCACTGCAGAAAAATCAAGGAAGACCACCAGTTATAGTGAATACCATTAGGGAAGTAGTTTTCCTGGCTCTTAACATCTTTATTCTGCTTTTTTACAATAACTCTGAACCCAAAACCTGAATGACAGTTCTGATGTTGTCAGGAGCAGCATTAGCAAAACTGAAATTTATTTTTCCAGAAAAAAAAGATGAGAAATTACCTGTGGGACATAACAGTGCCTAGAAAAGCAGAGTCTGGATGTCAAATGCCTAAATAAATTAATTTCAAAGCTACTCCAGAGACATCCACTGTTGGGAGTTATATCAGAATATAATGCTGAAAGTCTAAGAAAATGGGAAATATTTCAATAAGTGGGTCCTATTGGAATGAAGACTACTGAGATACACTATGCCAAAGGAATAAACTGGCTTCAGGGCATTAATGTCAAGTATGCAGGGACCAGCAGAGTTTCTACACTGCTCTAGATAATGTTTTGGTTTTGCAGATCCCCAGCAAGTGAGGAATAATTCTCTGTCCTGCTGTACTGTTCCTTGGGGAGATTTGCTCTTCCATCGCTCCCACAGCACACAATGCCATCAGATCTCCACAGCTTGGATCTCCACTCCCTGTCTGGGGGGTTCACAAGAAACTTGGGTTTTGCTTGCTATGCCCCCAGGCATCTTCAGAACTGGTTTTGTGATTGAGAACAGTAAAACAGAAATTTTGAAACATGCTACTCAGAAGTAACCCCCAATATTATTGATGTGAGTGTCCGTGACAAGCTGAGGATCTTTCTGAGGAGGGACCACAGCCCCAAGCAGGGATTTGAAGGACTCTGTACCTATGGGGGGCAATGCAGAGTGGCAATACTCTTGATGTGCAGAAGTTGCAAAGAACTAGGTACTCAGTCTGAAATTTTCTCAGAAATCCAATCAATACTGAACTCTGTAGCACTGAAACAAGTCAGGACAAATGTTTCAGAGTGGAATGGTGCACAGGTGAAGGACAATCTCATGCTGCTGCCAACACAGTCACATTAAATCCAACAAAAAGACAAGCCATAAGTGAAATTCTACAGATTACATACCTTGTAGTTCCTGCAAGAAGGGTTGAATGCATTTGTTCCACAGATAAACAGTGTATCCTCATTTCTTTTTAGGAGAACCTTAATAAAGTTATGACATTCATCCTGAAGAAAAATAATAAAAACTATTTCAACTACTGCATTTTGAGCATCTGTTTTCATTTTTAAGCAGTGATATTTCACAGGTTTAAAATTAAATTGGCTGGTACCCACTGCGATACTCTGGCCTTATTTTGACTATGTTTAACTAACAATGAGCAATTTGTAAATAATTTATATTCTAGTGGTTTAAAAATTACAAAGAGCTGAAGCTCTTCATATTGTAGCTCCCAGTTTGCTGTTGTTGACAAAGGTGAATTTTGTTTGAAAACTGTTGCTTTCCTGAAGAGCAAAAAGTCTGATTTTATCACCTCTGCCGCTGTCAGTGACATGGCCACTACAATGTACTGGCATAAAGCTTCTGTAGCTAGAAGGGGAAGTAGATGTAAAGAGTCAAAGAGTATGCATTTAATTATGATATTACTTGTGCCAGTCATAGCTTACAGGAGGGCGAAACTGGTGTGAGAAACAGTCCTTCTACAGCCCCACATTCATGTTTTCTGATGCTTTACCTGAACTCCTCAGTAAATTCCCACAGAGGGATGGACAGTCGAACTTGGCTTTTGAAGAAATGACAAGCAAAACTGGTACACTAAGCATTGTGACCTGCTCAATGCCTTAAATATTTCAGGATATTGCTGTGGCTTCTGTCCTAATATTTTACCACATTCAAAGTGAACTGTTTTTGCAAACTAAAACCTTCAGTAAGTTGATGGAAAAAGCAATTACTGGTAAGAAGTGAATGGCATGAACCATTGCACACCACAGACAGCAGCCTGGGATAATAGTGATGCAACTAAACTAAAGTGGCAGTTGCAGAAGAAATGAAAATTGCCTACCTTATGTTTTCCCTTCATTCTGCATGTATCTACATCAGCTTGTCTAGATTTCCATGTCAATTTCTGCAATAAAGAAAGAAATCAATTAGAACTCAGAAGTTTTTTACTTTTGATTTCAGAAGTAGAAGTCCCATAGGGGAAACTAGCTTTTTGAAAGTTTTTATTGAAAGTTTTCTGCACTCTTTCTCCATGACTAATTCACCACAACAATGAAAGTTTAGTGATGTGGATCATTCATTTAAACTTTGTTTTGCCACAAATTCATGAGACTGGAAATCCATCCCTCTTTTTTTAAAGCCTAAACTAACAGAATTCAACAATAGCCCAACTTTGAAAAATGTGTACTTTTCTTAAAAGTAGTAGATGTTCTCTTTTAACTGATATTGATCTACAAATCAGAATTATAATTTATGGACTATGAACCTTCACTGGATTCTAAATGAAATATACATTATCAAAGACAACATTTTAGATCTGGAAAGAAATAAAATTCAGGTAATTCTTACCACTTCAATTCAGCTAACAAGCTCCAAAAGTTTTTCATCTGTCAAGACACTGCTGACTTTATCTGCTAACACTCTTCCTTTGGAAGATTTACAGATAAATCCCAGCCAGTCTGTTGTTTTTTTTTTTGAGATATGTTTCAAAAATGGTCAAATGTGGAAGTCTTATTAATTATAATAAAACTTTATTTAAAATCACATGGCCTAAGATGGCATCACTTTAGACATCATTGCCATGATTGTTCTGAGTGTTCCTGATCACTAAACTGAGGCACTGTGCATTCATGGAGGGGTCCAAGCTGAAAGAGTAACCATGAATGTTCATTTCCATTGTAAGCTTGTGCCTTACTCTTTGAAGAGTGATAAAGCTCATTTTCACCATCATTCATAGTTGTAATGAAGCACTGTCCCCTCCTCCAGTGAAATTCATCCAATGTCCAAATTTTTATGATCTTCTGTCAGACCATGGCTGTGTTTAACATACGTTACACAACATGAATGAAAGGAAAAGGAGCTGAAGGCAGATTCTTTTCAGCATGTTTGTGTTGATATACAATGCAGTAATGCAGGCAAAGCTTTTTTTTGTTTGATTGTAACTTCCCATGGAGATAATGTGAATACATTAATATTCACATTAGCATTAGTTTAATGTGAATTAGTATTGGTATAATGTGAATACACTACAAAGTGATGTTATACTAAGAATATATTTAGTCAGTTCTTGCACAAGTGAAACAAATTTGTGCACATGAAAATACGTAACTTGCTTCTTATGACAAAAGTTTCAGTAGACTTAATTGGGATTGTATAGCTGTTATAGAAAACTGCTGCATATAAATGAATAGATGTTTGACAGATGTTCCATCAGGGACCTCACCATATTTCAGTACAGATTGCTTATCAGCCCAGCTAAACCACTTATCAGAAATTCACAGAGGACATGATTGCTATTCCAGCTCTCCACAAATATGATTAGCAATGCCATCTTACTTGCTTATTACAGCTTTACAGCAGTGCTGGCAAGTTCTTTAAAACAATGTTACCATCCTATTTATTTGAAGCTTGTTCTAGTGTCCTTGGTTTCTGGGTGATGATAAAAGCTACTTACTTTGCTAAAATAAATTTCTTCTGTATGTGATGTGTCCATATCAACAGTATAAATATGGTCCCTGTAAACAAAAGCAAAGAATACGAAGTCAAATGGAGTAGTCAGACAGTTCATTTTCTATAAGAGAGCTATCTATCACAAAATAATCCATAATACATTTTAAAAAAATCAGAGGTCTTACCAGAAGACATTACTGGCTGCATCTCCTGCTTCTCCCACAAAAGCATTTTCACATATAAACTGTTTGCCTTCCCATTAAGAGAAAAAAAGAAAAGTGCTAAAAAACTTCAAAGTAAGATTCTTTCCCAAAAGCAATTATTTGAACAAATGAGATTTGGGAAAGTGGATGAGTCTCACATGATTTCTGCTCTATCAGTCCTACAGCAGATGCCACAATCTAGCATGCAGATGTTTTTCTGTATCCTGAAATCAGCTGCAATAGATTTTAGGCACCTTTTGCCAGATTCCTAGGCTAGATGTCACTGTGCCACATTGAGTCATTTAAGGTTTTCCTTTCCTTTCCTTTCCTTTCCTTTCCTTTCCTTTGTCCTTTTTTTTTTAAATATGTGTCTAACCTTACCTGTTATAATGTGATTGACAATACGGTAGACAAAAAAGGCACAGAACTATTCCCAGAAATTATTATTTTCTTCACACACTGCTGGCCAAACAAAACTGTAAAATACTTCTCTGAAAAAAGTTCACACTTTTTTTCTTACATTTACCTTCCTATTTTCCTGAGAATCTGTCCCTCTCTACAATTAGCTGCCAATCTGTTCTTAGAAAGAGGAAACAGACATAGCTCATCAGGTAAAGAGATCTTTTTGGGCATCCTCTTTCGAGTAAGCTGAGAAAAAGACAGCTCTGTATAGAATCCAAAAGTTCAAAAAGACCACCAACCCACAACACTGTAGTAACCACCACATCAAATTGAGACTGAGATCTCATTTTTTCCTTGAAATGAAATTGATTTTTTTTAACATGCAGAAAGCTGTCCAGCTGAAGTGTGATCCACAACATTGGAAGGTCTGCTGAATGCAGAATACAGGCTCTTTCCATTTTAGAAATCCCTGCTCTCAAGGTTAGCTTCATATTTACTGGGTTTTGGGAAATACTGCTAGTCCCTTTAACTGAGACAAACAGAGGATACTGCTACCAGAGAAATAAGCAACACTTCTCTCGGATGAAGAAAAGTGGCAGTATTGTGGTAGGGAACTGGCTTTGAAAATTTGTCTCCTGTGGAGCTTGAGGCTGTTTGCTTTGCAAGATGCCAAATCAAGGAGTTGATGGGTTTTCTTCTCCTCCAGACTCCACAACCAGAGCTGTCATTTACTTACAAGATTGGTTTAATACTTCAATTTATTATTTGCCTGACTTCAGTGACAGAGCAGTGGTCAGGGTTGGTTCTGGAATAAAATTACCTATTAGCACAATATCAGCTTCATAGATTACATCATAGTTCCCTTTTTATGTGCATTAATCTTTATTGCTGTCACTCCTGCTATAAAAAAGTGGGGGAAAAAATGTCTTGAATTGCAAATATGGTGCAGGTGGACCTCTAAAACCCTTCTTCTGGCACAGCTCTTGATTTTATTCATCAGCCTCGCTTTCCAGAGGTTACAATTTTTTTCATTTTCAGCAAGACAATTAGAAAATACAGCAGTGGTACTCAGAAAGAGCTGAGTTGTTTGATTCCACCTCAATAAAACCGTCTTTACAGGACTTACTATCTGGCTCAAAGAACAGTACAAATGAAACTCTGATGCTAAGTTATGGGATTGTTGGAAAAAAGGAAAAAATTGTATATAATTTTCTCATGCCACAGATGAAGCACAGTTGCTGACAATGTCAGTAGAGAGTAAAAGAGCTGTCCAGTTTAGGGGAGGGCTCCCTAATCGCAGAAAACGTGGGATTGTTCTTATTCTCCTTTTCCCACTGCTGCCCAACTCCTACTTTCTACTAACTGTGCTATGTGTACAGTTTACTGCTAATTAAGTTATTCTAACACAAATTTACTTAATCCTTGAGCTTCAGTTTTTCCCACCTCCAGTCAGCAGAACTGAGTTTTGTTGCCATGGCATAATCTTGTCGAGGAAGGGAATTTCAATAATGCCACTGGCTGTGCACGACCCTTGGCACTGGGAGCATGGTTTGGAAACACGTAACAGCAAAGGAGGAGGGAGCCATCCCATACCCTGCTCCTTGCCTCTTTGGTTCACACACACAAGAGGGTGGCAGATAATGTGAACAAAAGCTGCCACTGCATGAGACAATGGGAGGAGGAGACACAGCAAACTTAGAAAAGGATGTGTGTGCTTGGGTGTGGGCCAGTGAGAGAGAGATAGGGAGGGAGCACCCTTCCCACGAGAAAAAAGATGACAGAGCCGATCCTTAGCAAGCCTGCTCAGACAGTAAAGCTTTATGGCCTTTGGCTGAGCTATTCCGATTTATATTGGCTGTGTATTTGTGTCTGATAACATGAAATAATGCCTTTGTGAAGAGACACAAAACTTTATTTGGTAATAGCTAATACAGGAGCTGTGTACCCCATATGACAAAATAAGTAGTGGGCTGCCAGAAATTTTGTTCTATGCCAGTTGATCATTAATAAAATGTAAGCAGTTCTCAAATCTGAGTTAGCCTTTCTAGTGGGCTGAAACTGCCTGCAAAAGTCAACACTGGATTTTCCAAAACAAGCAAATAAAAAAAAAACTCCCCAACCTAAACACAACAGTCCTAAAATAAAAACGCTCACTATTTAACCATTTGTTTTGATTGTCTTTCAGATAATTGAGTAAAACATAAACTTAGGATTTCTGTATTTCAATGCATAAAAAAATCATGAAAGCGATAGCTCATATAATAGCCCAAAGATGTATTTAGCTACAATGAATCAATGAATCTTGTTACAAAACTCTTTGGCAAACACATTTGCTTGTGCACAAATTTGCTCCCAATCTCTAGATTTACTACTGCCTTTGAAGGAAATGCAGTACTTGAATTACAAACTTTCTTCCACGCTAGATACTGAAGGATGACTCATTTTCTGAAGTTTGTTACTTAAAGATAAAAATTACCTCTGAATTTCAACTTGTATCACATAGTCTTGTCAGCCCAGGAAGGACTTTATTCAGTAACATGGAGGGGGAAAAGAATATGCCAAAGAGGTTTTGAGTTACCAAAGGAAAAATAGTGTAAGAAGATTTTTTTCATGCCTGTGTAAGTACAAAACAGATCAGGCCTTTATTCTTTCTTGTAGGTCACAAGATCCTAGGACTACATCAGCACTCTTATTGTAGCAAGTTGTTTTATACAAATGAGGAAGAATGCATATTCACATACTAGTACGTTATCCCCCAAATATTACCATTTTTCATATAATTTGTGCACACAGTGGTTTCATATCCCAAAACTGTTCTCTGGGTTTTCCTGCTCTAATGCCAGTTGCTTGGGCACTGAGACAGCCTAACTGCGTCAATCTCAGTCTGGGAACAAACTATGAAAATAGCAAAGCAAAATCTGCAAAGAGGATTTACCACCATCTCACTGCAAATAGTTTCCTATATAAAGGAAAACAAATAAGGAAAGCAAAGGGAGCTCAGTCATGAAAAGGAGGAAATCCTGCCACCACCTTTCAAACCTATTCAACCCTCAGCCCTCCCCCACTCATTATCTCACTAAAAATGGCAAAAATACCAATCTTGGACCTCAGGCAAAGCACAGGGCTTTGCCACTTGCCACAGGGCTGACCTCTCCTTGTGCCCCATGACCACCACCACCGCAGCTCCTGTGGAAGGATACTTACTCTCTGCCTGGACTCTGTGCAAGGTCTTGCCGTGAGAGCCCTGAGCTCTGCCACCCGGACCCCATGCAGCACGGGGTATGCAAGGAGCCTGCGAAGCTGCAATTAGCTAGAGCAGCTGCCATGGCTGGGTAATGGAACAGGTGTGTTATTCCAGCAGCCGGGGACATGACTCTGAACAGAGTCACTCAGCGACCGTGCTGGTGTAATGCAATCACTAATTATGTCGTGCTGCATGGAGATCGACGGGCAGCTTTCCCCCACAGGACACATCCGACCACCCAGGAGGTGGGGAGTGGCTGTTTGAGAAGAAAGGCAGGCAGCTCCCAGAGGCTGCCAAGGGCTTTGCAGACAGGGCTGGTGGTGAGAGGCTGCCTGTTCAGCAGCTGTTCCCCTTCGCTCTTGGCCATCCCACCCACCACTTCTCTCATCTGCAGCAACAGCCTGGTTTTATGTGACACATGCAGAAAGGTGTGTGTTTTTCCAATGGAGAACCAAAAAACAGGCAGGAAACAAGCTACTACTTGAGAGGCAGCTTGCAGGGAGGTCCCAAACAGGATCTGGGTCCAAGAGCTCTAAACTGGACTATCTGCCCTTGCAAATCTGGACCACCCAGCCTTGCTAATCTGGACCCATCTTGCACTCATTCTGCATGCCTCATGTAATTCCCACTCTAAGATCCTCAATCTTCTTTGCTAACAACAGGTAGGGATGTGAAGTGTTAATATTGGATCTCTGGCTGGTTGGCAGCTGTCTGATGGGTGTAGGCCCACTGAGGCTGACAGTGCAAGCTGAGCTAGGCAAACTGAATGAGTGGCTCTATGTGCAATTTTTATAAAAAGACATGCTCATGTCTGCACAGTATAGCTCTCCAAAGAAGTCAAGACACTAAATTAAATTAACCTTGAGGAAGCATCTTTAGTTCTTTGTCTTAAGATACCAAAAACATGCCTAAATCAGCAAAATTATATTCTAATAATTCTTATCAAAAATACATCTGTGCACAGAAGAATTATTCTCTAAAATTTGTCATTAATTGGTGAGCACAAGTGGAATAAAATGAGGATGGAATTGCTTCTCCATGGAACTAAATTATATTTCTGGCAACTTCCCTCTTGCAGATCTCAGAGGAAGGCAGAGGCATGTAGTCCTAAAGCACAGGTGTAAGACATCACAAAACTTTAGTTGATCGTCTAGCAACATTTCTAATATGTCTTACTAACAGGCTGCAAAGCTCTCTCTGAGTGAAAAACAATCCTAAAAATAATGTGTCCATCAGAGAAGAACTCAGAATATTCCTTGTCTTCTCCTTGCTCCTCTTAAAGCAGTAAGAGAGGAGTGGTGAAGCAGGAGGCTACTGACCTAGCAGCAACGTAGAGGGTCCTGTTCATGACCATGACAAGCTGGATGTCCAGCCGGTGCCTCTGTGTGGTGTTCCGCCCCGGTTTGTGACCCACAAACACCGGATACTGTTTTGTGTCTGTAGGAAGGAAAAAAATCAACAGGGTAAAAAGAGAATAACAAACTGAAATGGTGCTAACATGAATCACCATGGGGCCCAGCTATAGCCAAAACCTATGGTTTCTGTTCTGCACTGGAAGCACAGACTGGGGCTGGAAGGCATGAGCACAGAGAGCTGGAGAGTTCTTCAAAGTTACAGTGTCTGCAGCTGCAAAGAGGAAAGTCACCACCTTTGTAGAAGACAAAAGTGCGAATATTTTTAAGTATAAAGCTGGAGCTCTTGGCACACAGGTACACCGCACTTCCTTGCAGTTTTTCTTTCACTGCTTGCAGAGCTTAAATGCTTGCTCCTGGCTGCAAAACATGTGTATCAGGATGAGGCTGTTCCACAGTGACCAATTAATCCACAATGACTGGACTGGTAATGGCTAAAGCAAATGGCTTGGCTCTTTTAGGTTCAAGCTGCCAGTTCCCTGGATTTTCTATACGACTTGACTGTTGCCACAGAATGGCTGCAGGGTTTTCTGAGAAGCAGTGGGAAATCAGCACTTGAACTTCATGAAGTGAAAGTCACTGCTCATTATTTTGGCAACCAGTCTGATATTCCAGTCCTTCTGGTAACTGGGCAGCAATATTGATTGGAATCTCCATACTGAGCTTATGCTATCAACAAGTGAGCTTCCCCAGCCCTCCAGTTCTACCAGTCAGCAAGAGTATTTATTGTCTATTCCCATTATTTTTTTGGGGTGAGAGCTCAGCACACACAGGGTGTTCCACTGCTCCTCAGACGGGTGTACAACCGAACAACAGTGAACACTTCTGATCAAGGGCCACTTGACATTCATGTGTATCATATGATCATGACATCTAGTACGCAAACAAGGAGCTAATTAAGTAAATAAAATTCCAGAAGATAGGAGGATAATCCTCTGATGAGCATTATCATGGCAGACCTGTTGCAAATGAATGTTATACAGAGCTGACTAGCATCGAGCTATGGTTTCTCCCCATTAATATGCTTTCCCAGAAAACTGCAGCTCTTTGGGGGAGTCTGTTTCTTCAGAAACTCATCTGCTCCTTTAGTATTTTAGCTATTGTCTTCTAAAAGCATTGTACCTGTTAACCTTGGTCAAATTATTGGTTCACAGCATGGCTTCAGCAGAGCACCTCAAAATGTCACATGCCACAAAGTCTGGTGATAAAACTGGACAGGAAAAGGAACTTCTCACCAAACCAGGTGCTGATAACTCTTCAAGAAATAAATTAAGACACCAGGCAGGATTTACATTCAGAAGATTAATTCTTCTGATCATGTCTGACATTGCAAAATGCCAAGTTTTATTGTCAGGCTGTTTTCTGCTCAATGTTTTCTGCTCCTTTGTAACTCATGGATCTAGAACAAACTAGGCACATTCATGTCCACTTCAGCATGCCATCCTGCAGAGGAAAAATTATCCCAGGTTCTACTTCTCTAAAAACATCAAGTATGGCAAATTTTTCTAAGAATGATTAGCATTGCCCTTCTGGAGGGTGAAAATGTTCGCGCTGAAGTGGCCACACTAGCCATGGGGTTGCTTCAGAGCAGTTCTTCCCTGATGTTGTATCTTAGAGGTCTATTAGCATTTGCAGCACATCAGGTGTGCCCTGGACTCTTGTCATTCAGAATAAAGTTACACAGGACAGACAAGTTTTTGGGTACCAAGGCCATTGCAAAGCATAGCAAACATGGACAATCTTAAAACCAAATTCCTGAACAAAAAAAGAACGGAACACAAGCCTGCTCTTAGCTGATTTGCTACTCCCTAGCACAGTTTTAGAGGCCCAGATGCTAAAGACATCCTTATAAACATCTGAAACTTTGGGACTTTGAAGAATTTTCATTGCCATTATCACAACTGAGATGAGGCAAATGTGAAAGAATCAGTTAAATCAATGTCCACTGTAAGATACACAGAAAGCTCTCCACCTGTTTAGCCAGCAGATCTCAGTATGCAGCTGTTGGTGTTACACTAGATTTTGGAGAGTTTGCCAATCTCTGCTGGTAAGAAAGGAGAGACCTTCTGTCATATAAGATTCTTTGTCTTGATTTGGTTTTTAGCTTCTTCAATTCCATCTTAGGAAAAAAATGCCTAATGCTCAAGCAGAATCCATTTGAGCCTAAAGAAGTTAAATTATTTGTATTAGATTAACAAATAATAAAACTATGTGAAAAAGTAATGTTCCTATATTAGTGCCAGTGAATGTAAATTGGCTGATATGGGAGAAATCAAGAAAAAACAACTTCATCCACTGCAACTCTATTTAAGTAGCATTGATTTGAAGTCCCCTGATCAGTGCTACATGAAGTCCTCTGGCCCCTTATACTTACAGTTGCCATGCGAAATACTGATAGGCTCAGAATCTTCTGGGAAACCAGCCCCAGCAAAGTGTAGCAGTGTGAAATATAGCAGCAAGGCTTCTGACCTCATAGTAGTTCAGCTGTGAGGCTTCACTTCTTCACTTCACCCTGTGGAAGACAAACAAGGGTTTAAGCACCTTCAGGTGGGTCAGAGCTTTAAAGAGTCTGTGGAAAGTAGAGGAAGCTTTTCTCCTCAGAACTCTCACTGTACCTGAGGAGGCATGCTGTGTTTCTAAGTAGAAACTGCCCTGAAAATCCAGTTATTCTTCAGCTCATGCCCTAGCAGGGCTACATCTTGCTTGAGGATAGACTTAAGGACCTGTGTATTACAAAAATTTTTCTGCCCTGATGCTTATATGTACTTCATCTCCTGCACTGATCGACAGCTGACAAGAGTTTTCCAAGAAACATTTGATTTTCCCCTACTTTGGTTTACATAATTAGATGATGACAAGATGACACACACCATAAATAAAAAAAAAAAAAAAAAAACCTCACACTACATTATTCTGGTTAAAAAGAGATTAAGAGTTATACTACAGGACTGACTCATACCCTGCAGAGCTGTGAATCAAGAGAAGAAACACTGAGAGAGCTTGATGGAGCATTCAGAACATGTCATTGGGCTTTACCATAAAAGTATGTACCCATAAATTTAGGTGTTGTAAAACCAATACTCCAACTTGTGATAAAATAAGGAAGAAAAGAACTGTCTAAATCCAGCAATTTTTTCCCCCGTGTTCCACTGATGCATTCATTCATTCATTCAGATTTCATGTACAAAAATATCCCTAAATCTTTAAGATAAAAGGAACCACTGAGCCCTTTGGACACAGTGAAAAAAACCAGCACATAATACAGTAAATACTTCATAATTCCCAGGCAAATTTCACAGAGACATTGATCTGTAGGGGAAATCAGTGCAAAAGTGGGGTTTTCTTTTCATCCCTTCCAGAGTTTCAAACCTTTGATGCTGCCTTCCAAAGATTCCTTTTGAACAAAGCTATTTTACAGTGGTCTGTCAGTCACTCAAGATTTATGGACAGAAAGTCAAACTTCATAACCTACATAGTCTTTGAAACTTAATTTGGCAAACAAAGTGCTAACTTGCCCTTCTGCAGCACTATTTAATATTAGATACCTGTGTCTCCTTTTTTGATGCCAAAAAAAGCATTAGCAAGTATTAAACGTTGGATTCCTCATTTTTTAACCAATAGAAACATGTCATAATAATTAATTTGCCTCATCAGATATTTGCTTTCAAATAAAATTTCAGTTGCTATAAATGGTTTGGAGTGGGGGTTCTGTTGCAGGGTGATAGAGTCCATAAGGACTGCTGATATATTAGGCTCTCTGTGTTAGTCTATTATTATTTCAACATAAAAATTGGAATTTTGGCTGCTTCTCTATTTCTATTAACAAAATAACTGGGAGACCAAATTAGACCAAGAATAGGAAAAAAAATAATGTAACGCAGTGACTGACAACTGAACAAAATTTCAGATAGATGGTGAAGGATAAAAATAGCAAAAATAAATGCAATACAATGCAGACACTGTCTGTCTATTATAACTTATAGGAGAATGCATAGTAAAAGATAGTACATACCAGCCCCAACAGAAGTATTTCCATCTAGCACTGGTTAAGCCAATAGATCTCTATGATTACTGGCACACCTATATTTGCCTGCAGATGCTTTCTTTATGCATTTCCTCCATTTGTCTTTCTAGTCACCTCTTACATTTTCTCTTGACTGTTAGCTCTCCGGGGTAGAACCTGTTTCTTTCTATTTGTTGCCATTTGGGACCCTTTGGAATGCCCAAAGAAGAAATAAGGAGCAGAAGTAAATAGCAGGCTTGGAAAAACAGTTTCCCTCTAAAGGTTATAATTAAAAGCAATACATACACATTAAAGGTGCTATTTCCTTTATCTCTATGCAATTTTTCAAAATGGCACTTTACTGGGTTAAAAATTTTGCCCTTGTAAGTACACAGCAAAATGGCAAAATGAAATTCCTTACTACACAAACTGATTGAAATTATTTTCTCTTTGAAATTGCTACAATCCAATGTAAAAATCTTTTCTGAAATGTACATAAGGAACAACAGTTCAATGGGAAGAACTTAGGAAGCAATCCAATTGTTCCACTTCCACTGTATTAATCTACAGTATCAATCTGCAGGCTAACAATCCAAACCACTTGGCTCACAATGAGACTCCAGAGCATAAGAATAGCTGCTTTCTGCTGCTCCCTTTCATCACAAAATCCACCATCTGACAACATGTGTGCTGTGAGGAAAGCAGCACAGTACTGCAGACACAGCTCTGCCGCTCCCCTTCAGAGCCTGAAAAACTTGTCCCATGGGTGATTCTGCACCATCAGTCTCTAATGCTCATTCAGACTTGTGTACTGCTCCGTGTACATCTGTGTGGGAGACAGCTTCCAGGAAAATGAACAAGTCCCAGCATGCTTACTTTGTGATTTCATGCACATGCTATTGGGCCAGATCTGCTTACGTTTACCTGGGAAAAAAACCAAACTGACAAATGAACTGTCATAGATTGGTAGGTTTATATGAAATTCTCTCTCCTTCTTAAGGGGACTCTTCTGGAGAAGAAAAGAGGGAGAAGAGAGGAAAAAGCATAAATCTCTGTTGCTCTGATGCCAACATGGTCGTTCAAATTCACAAAATGTGTATGCAAAGTATCTGCTTTGACATGTCAATAATTCAAGTTGACTACATGTGTATCAGTGTCTGTGCCAATAAATTAGCACTGAGGAGGACTAAATTGTATCCAAAGGCAGCTTTTTTCCAGAAGTAATTATTCAAACATATTGTCACTTTTGCAGTTCTTACAATGACAGAAAGAGCCATACTGTTTCAGTGGAATTTCAGAAAAGTGCTGATTCAAGGTCACACTTATTTTTAGGACAATTTTCACTGTGGTTGGGCCCCTGGGATTGATGCAAATGTTCGCACTCACAACTGTGCTGAAACTACTTTTGTTCAAAAGTGCTTGTGAGCACAGTGTCTGATGAAGACGAGTAGCTAGACAGTGATGCCAAGTGAGCACAGCACTGTTCCAAAATAAAAGTTTTGCAAACATCAATGAAGAACTCTCCATCTGTCATGCAGCGATCTGAACTGCAATTCAATCTGGCCTGCACTAAGCCATACTGGTTGAGAGAGAACTGGGTCTGAGAACTCCAGTTCTGGGTCAAAACATTGTAACTCTTGTTGAAGGAACCTACTGCCAACAGGAGTGAACCTTGGCGGTCTTTTATTATCAAGCATGCTATTAAAATATTAGCCCTAAAAATATTTAAGAGAATGTTTTATAGTCTATGTCTAATCCAGTGGCTTGCAGCCATCAAATTGGCGCAGTAGATTAGATTTCTTCCAAGCTTCTAAAAAAACCACAAATAATTTGCTTGTTGCTTTTCTAAACCAAAGAATATACAAATATTTTGGAACATACATTGGTGCTCTGATTATTCTTTCTGAAGCGGATGGTTCTAATACCTGTGTAAGACATCTCCTCGTGGCCACTTATGTGTTCACTCCTTTTTGTTGTATTATATTTACGTATAAACAAACAACATGATCTCTTAATCAAAATATATAGAAATCAAAGTTTTGCCTTCTGAGGTGGAATAGGTTTCTCTGTTTGCACACTTCAGCCTGAAGATGAATCACTTTTAAGCAACTATCTTGTACTAGTTTGAATACTAGTACAAGATAGTTGCTATTACTATTATTTTTACTTAGTCAAAGCCTATGTATACATATACATATACATATACATATACATGTACATGTACATATACATAATCACCCACACATACATGCTTGACATAGAATCATTTACTTTTGTAAAATTCATGCTGTTGGCATGAAGGAGTTTCTGAAGACAAGAAAGTAATGATCATTTCAAGACAAGGAGAAAAGTCTAATTTTACTTTGCCAAGTTCTTTCCACAATGGCTATCCATGGCTATTCAAGCTACCAAGGAGCCACCATTACGAGCTTTGCTTTTTGCTGTCTGATATTTTTAGCATTTCCAACAGTCTGCGTGGAAATGCATACAGAATATCTGCTTGGCCAAGGAAAGAATTATGTGGCTCCTGCCACAATAACCTAGTAGGCAGGTTATTTTATCTACAGCTAGTTTGTTCCAGAAGGGTTACACAATCCAATGAAAAATCTGAACGGAAGAGACAACTTCCTGGTAAACTCCATAAAAGTGCAAGGGCAGATTTGATCCTGAAAACAAATTCAACAGCAACAGCAATGACTGCAAAGGCACATCTCTAATGAAACGGATGCTCTTCCATGTTAGAAAACCTCCCATCTTGTTGCTTCAACTTCACCGTTCATTCAGCTAATCCCGGTGTAACTCCAAGAAAAATTAAAGTATGCAACTATGCCAGAATTTTCCCATGGCACAGTAAGACTGCTGTATAATGAACAGATCTTGTTATATTCATTTATTACAAAACTTCTTTCTACCATGATGCGCTGTGTTCATGCAAAACAGCTGCACTTCGATTCACAAATTATTAAGCTTAATGTGAGAATCACCAGACAAAATTCCACGGTCCGTGTTATGCATGAAGCAAGGCCAGAAAATCTACTGGCCCTAAAAACCTGTGACTGTCTTCAACAAACTCTTTCATTTACATAAATATGTAGAAATAATTTATTCTTCAAAAAGACAGTCCAGCAAGAGGAAACTAAAAAGTAAAGCCAGATGAATTTGAACTACTGCATAAGGAAAAATACACAACAGGGAAAGCAGCAGCCTACATGAACTGGTCCTGGAAATACTCAGCAAATAGCCCTTAGAATCATAACCAGCAAAAGCAAAAGTACTTTTAAAAAGCAGGGAAGAAACTGATTTGAGTTTCATAACAGAGGTTAAAAGATTGGAGATTCTTCTGTGGTAAGAGCTTTAAAAGCACACAGGTGATTTAGGAGCCCAAGTCCTACTCCAGTGTCTCATCAAAAGAGACTCACTTACACAAAAAGCATGTATTGATCTACACAGCCATGCCTCCTTGCTGTGCTGAAGGCAGAGCACAGAAACCAGTTGGCCAACCTGCCTGC